CTTCCGACCGTGTCTCGGCGCGTTTTTTTTTTTCGATACTCCTTCGCGCACACAGCGAATATCCACGTCGTATATCCATGCACGACCGGCCCGAGAGACGTCCCCGCAATCCCAGTCCACGGTGTCGCGGCCGCCGCGGATATTGCGACCATCGCGGCGCCACGATTAACATACGATTATCATAAATTCTAATCGGAAAGCGCCGTGAAATTTAAATATCAAACGGCGCGTGATGTTTACCGAGACCGGGGAAAGGTGCCGGCTTTTTCTCGCCGCGTCGCGCCGCGCCGCGCGAGAGGAGAGCCGGGCCGCCTTATCGTATTTGCATTAACGACCATCCGGCGTGAATTAATGGCTGATTATGCGGCATTCCTGAATGCATTTACCAGCCGCGTGCGCGCCCGTAACACGCTCGCACACGCTATTCATTTAAATAGCGGCAAAAGTAGTAGCGTTTTCTCTCCGTTCAGGTGGCATGTAGTAACGGCGGGGTACGTACACTATACGCGTCTAATTTAAGTCCGCGCGCGCGCGCGACGTGGTGTGCCCGCGTATTCTTACGTATATATATAAGCGTACATGCGTAAAACCCACATGCCGCCTCCGTCGCCGCCGATCCGGACGTTTTACGGCCGTGCACGCACGTCGTTAAACGACGGGAATGTTGGCGCCGTCGCATGACTCCGCGCTCGCGATCGCGCTCGCGCGCGAGCGGAGGTGGCACATAGCACACCGCCAGCCCCGAGGAATATAATGCAGCGCGAGCAGTCTGCGGCGCGCGAAAGATCGGCCACGTCCCAATCTGGAGTAACAAGGAGAGCGAGAAGCATCCCCATCTCCGACCCGCCCGCGCCGCGCTGCGCCTCGTTTCGCGTCAGATAAAACGAGGTGTCGGCGCCCACGCCGTATCGCGCCACGTAGAAATTCTCCGCGAGAAATTATACGACGAACTTTTTGAACGTCGTCGTCGTCGTCGTCGAACGGACGCGAAAAAGCCTTCATCGCGCCATCGCCCGCAGTTTTATATCGTTTATGGCATCGCCGAGATGACACGCGAAATCCATTTGCGAATTTCGAAGACCCGATCGCGCGAGCGAGCCCATATCTTCGCTACAGGCCATGTCAGACTACAGTATGCAATGTGCAATGGAGAGTTGAGGATTTTGAATTGAGGATTAAAATTAGATTTTATCAGACACTTAATTTTAATTTTAATTCATTTCGTTCTAATTGACTGAATCGTTCTAATCCCTATAATTTGCATTCCTCAATCTCTGATAGTCAGCTGATCACACACGCTGGATTTAACGCGAGGAATTTGCGGTAAAATCTCAACGAATACAGAATCGGCAGAATTCATGTTTGCGAAAAGAAAATTGATAACCGGTGGGGGGAGGGCTATCAATAACGCGGTTTCTCTTCGCAAACGTGAATTCTGTCGATTCAAGGAGGGGGGGGGGGAGGAGCCGAGAGGAAATTTTTCTCGCAATTTTCAATTTTTTCTCAAAACAATCGGGTTCGATACTTTGTACAAAATTGTTTTCCGCGGCGAATTTCACGAATTTCAGGAAATTTCGCTTACTCCCACTTTTGTTTTTCTACGCACGTACGTGCGGGAATCGAAATAGCTCACGAAGATGTTTTCAAGTTGTCGAGAGGCAGTGCGATAGCATGTATGTTGTTTTTCTAACAATAACGACTCTCGAAGAAAAGGATATAATAGATCTGTAGGTTTAGTCGTGCGCTTTCTAAATTTCGCTTGTTATCTATATTTTTTTCAAACCCTCAATTATCCATACATACATAATATATACATATACACTCTCGTTTCCTCTCTGATCTACATTTCCGACGACTAGATAAATCTATATGTAAATACATACGTACACTGTCAATTAGTAACAGACTATCTATTCTCTCTGTTTTCAAAGCAAAAGGTTTACAAAAGTTAACCTTCGTGCTTTAGTCGCGCTTTCTACATTTCGCGTCTTTCTTTCCCTTTTTTCCCTTCGAGTGCCATTCATAAATTATACTTACGTCAAACGTATAGTAGGCGCATGTGTAGAACTTTCATATTCAAGATTCCCGAATGTCCTAAAAAATCGCGCGAAGAAAAACAACGAGAAGAACCAAGCGAATCCCCAATATCTCCTTCCTCGCTAACCTTCAATCAATGATCGTGCGTAGCGTACTGCATAAAATTTATCGAACACTCTGCATTACCTGTACACTCGTTACACTCCCGCGGTGCGAAAAGTGCCGAGGGGACGAACAGTTCTGCATTATCCCCGCTGGTGGTGGCCTAGTTTCGCGGATCGCCGCGCGATGGCGCGACGTGTCGCTCGAACATCCGTAGCTACGCCCGCGCGGCGCGCGCCCGCGCCGTCGCCATGTCCTCCCATCCATCTCTCTCCTCTCTTCTAATCCCACGTCGCGTGCATGCCGTGTCCCGTGATTTACGGAGGGACGTGACGATGACAATGCCGATGACATCGTGCCTGGCGACGATGAATTAACGCTTTCGCGCGAGCGCACGAGCGACGATCGGCGAGATCCGACCGGCAGAGAGCTATGCGCGGCATAACTGTGATGTGTCCGTGTGTAGCAACATTAACGGTCAGACATTCGCTCCACTCTGCAGATGTTTCTCGGTAAGTTGCTCCGCGCTCCCGTTCTCTCGTCCTTCCCTCTTCCCCCTTCCCGCCGTTCCCTTTCTGCCCCACCCCTCCTCGTGACCGCATGCCTCCGCCGCGCTCGAACCCGCGGCCGCCCGCGACTCGCCGCGAACGAGAGTTACTTGTACATACGTGTTTCGGCGAAACGTCAACGCGGGAACGTCAACGTCGAAATAAAATAACGTCGCGAAGCGATCGATAGCACGCGAAACGTCCGTCGCGCGGTAGAGCGAGAATTCTCTCTCTCTCTCTTCGTTCCTTCGCTTTTTCTCCTTTATTACAAACTGTCTGTCCCTTTCAGAGAACCCGATATCGCGATCCCGACATTTCCGACGTGTCGTCGAGCGAATTAGCGCAGCCCGATAAAAAGTTCGTCCCCGTCTCGTCGCCCACACACGAACACGCCTTTCCGTTTCGCGCGGCGCAGCGCGGCGCGGCAGGGCGAGCCGTTCGTTTCTCTCTGCACTCTCTGCACCCTCCCCGGCTCTCGGCTCTCCACGGGCTGGAATATGTGCGCGCGTCGTTCCGTTAGGTATGTTTCAGCTGCGCTTGTTACACTCTCCTGCATTCAAAATAAATTTTTAAATAAGCTTCCTCTCGCATTCTGAGAGAGATTCACGCGCTACCTACATTTCTTCCCCTTTCCTCTTCCTCTTCTCGCAGCCCGCGATTGCACACCCGTGTCATTTTATATGCCAAAGGCGAATCGGGAATGCGATTGAGATGCGCGCGAGCCAAATTAAAAAGGCAGGTATTGTACCACACGAGCGACGTGATCTGGTTTCCATTATAATTCAAATACAGATCACGGATGCTGAATAAAATAATAAGCGTACAAAAGGTCAAATCGATATTATTTTACGAAAGTTACCGAGAAATAAAATTTCTACGTTAAAAAAAAATAGGTATATATATATACACACACACACATCTAAAAATATTTCACATTATCTATTTTATCATCAAGTTTTTACTCGGATATTTTTTTTCCAAGTTTATACCGTTGCTATATCGAAAGCGGGATAAAATGTGAGGGGGTGCGAGCGAGAGACGATCTATTTTGAATGCAGAAGGTGTAGTTAAGACGAGCAAACGCAACAAATCCGTACCGAGGATTACACCCCGTGCCGTGCGGCGGTGGCGGCGGCGGCGGCGGCGGTAGCCGATGATGTTCGCGCACGCAGATAGGTTAGGGGAAGTGTTGGCCGCTGCCTCGTCTCTGTTTATCCGCGCTACCGAGGTCGCGTCCCGCCCGTAGATCGTCCCCCAGCGCCCGCCCGACCGCGATGAGAGATTCGTAGCGGAGGTTTCAGACGTTGAGGTAACCGTTCTCGACCGTCGCCGGCGCCGTCGACAGCGCGGAACAAGAGGCGTGGAATTTCAAACGTGGGCTTTAAAACGTTCGTTCTCCACGTCGATTTCCGTCCGAGCTTGACACGGTTACGGGGCTAGCCTCGGCTTTTTTTTTCCTCTCCCTCCTCTCTACGCGGACGGTTACCGTTGGTTCTCGCGCGTCCGCGAGCTCCGAACCTCGATATCGAGCTGGAAAACGCGCGTTTTGGGGTTAAATATATCCGACATATACATTCCGTTTATTATGGTTCCGCTAACGACGGACGATATCCGAGGTCCGCGGTGACAGAGAATGGCGCGAGACGAATGCTAGAGATAATGTTCGGCGGACTGTTTGTTTCGGCGAACCGTTGATTAATTAAATTGTGCACTTTGTGAAGCACAGGTGAAGCCGGGTGCCTAGAACACAGCTGGCAAAATGGGCAAGTTGTTGTCAAAGATCTTTGGCAACAAGGAGATGCGTATTCTCATGTTGGGACTGGATGCGGCAGGAAAAACCAGTATCCTTTGCGACGCTGTAATTTGCGAGTCTTACGTGTTCTGTAATCGTACATACATCTATTAATTCCGTGTGTTCGTTTTACTTATGCAATTGTTTTTTTTCTCTGTCAATTAAGTTACATAATTTGACTGTACGTGTAATTGTAATTGACATAGTTTTGTTATGTGTTATGTAATGTGTACAAGGTGTGTCTCAGCTCTTTCAATTCTTTTCTGTAAAGACATTTCCTTAACTATAAATTTTACATCAGCAATATTGTATAAACTTAAACTAGGACAGTCTGTGACAACTATACCAACTGTAGGATTCAATGTAGAAACAGTTACCTATAAGAATGTTAAATTTAATGTGTGGGTAAGTATATCAAGCTCTCCCACACGGGAAAGCCTGTAAAGAGAAGAAATTATCCCTACCTATTAATCGTCCGCTCTTAATCGAACTGAATGTTTCTCTGTTATTTAGGATGTAGGTGGCCAAGATAAAATACGTCCGTTATGGCGTCACTACTACACAGGGACGCAAGGACTTATTTTTGTAGTAGACTGTGCGGATCGGGATAGAATCGACGAAGCCCGCCAAGAACTTCATCGAATCATAAACGATAGGGAAATGCGTGATGCGATAATTTTAATCTTTGCTAATAAACAAGATCTTCCGGATGGTAAGTGACATTTACGTTTTTTTTTTCTTACATTACGATATTTATATTTTTCGTTAGTGTAATTTTTAGTGAATAGTAATGACGCAGTGTATATATGTGCTACAGATATAATCTTTACATGGCTTAGCACAATATACGAATTTTCGCCCGTTCGCTTTTTTGTTTCTCTAGCAATGAAACCGCACGAAATACAAGAGAAACTGGGATTAACTAGGATACGAGATAGAAATTGGTACGTTCAGCCATCTTGTGCCACAACGGGAGACGGGCTTTACGAGGGCCTTACGTGGTTAACCAGTAATCATAAATTATGAGCAAATATTTATTTTTCACAAATTAGCTATATATACAGAGAATATACGTTTGCTTTGTATTTCTTATTTTAATTTATCATGTGGAGGCTCCGTCAAGACGAACAAACTGACAAATGATACGGTTTGACGACATCTTTTTTACGAGTAACGTTATCACAGGTGCAAAAATGGGGTGGGGGGGGGATGAGGAAAAACAATATGAAGACAACTATTAATGGTGTGTTCCAATAATATCGATACTAGGTGAATAGTAATTTATTGTAAACGAGGTACCAAGGGGCGTGACCTTTGTTATACTAGCTATTTATCCCCATTTCACGGAAATAATTACCGAATAGAGTTTAAAACGCTAGCGGGTTTAATACCGCTCTCTGTACATGTAACATATTCACACAAGTGTACTGTTTCATGAGACACATACGTTGTACAAGTTAATGGGAGAAAAAAGGAAGAGAGACAAAAAAAATTACGAGAATCTAGTTATGATATTAAGAGGTTCACGGATTCACAAGAATTAGTATACTGTATAACTTACCTTTGCAGGATCATATCTAATGTCTATGTAACTGTTACTTGAGCGGAGTTGCGTTTCTCTCTCTCTCTCTCTCTATCTCACTCTAACTCTCTCGTGCGAGAAAGTACCTCAAGATTTTAACGAAACGCAGCTAGATTTTTAACTTCGCAATATCTTGTTGTCAAAGTGCTATCTAATGTGTATTATAATGATATTCGTATACATATAGCCCGTGAGTATAACACGTGAATAAATTTAAAAGATCTACATTGAGGCTTTATATAGTAACAGCAAGACTATTCCGTTAATTAACATCCTTGCTATGTAGAGTTCCGTGCTGAAAAATTGCTTGTATTTCTTTTTATAACTTCGTCTTCCAACTCGCATCTCTGGTATTTCTTTCAATCAATTCCCATCTTTTTCTGTCATCTCGATCACGGGATACGATAATTTTAAAGTATCATCAGATTATTGCTATAATTACGCACAAGTTCGCAGAATATAGGAAGCAATGCAATAAGGAGTTATCGGTTTACTGATATTGTGAGCTCAAAAACCAAAACAAAAAAAAGAGGGAGAAAAGGAAATAATGTTACAAGGAACGTAACAGCATTGAATCTGCCAATATTTTTTACTGTTTAAGTGAGTATCGGATAATAAAGCATACTAGTATTAGGTCGCAACGATCGGATCGTTAAGATCAACGTTTTAAAACGGATGAGATATAAATGTTTTCGTGATCGTTTAATTTCTCATAGCATAATCCATAGAGTAAGGACTAGTAAGGATATACATTTCGAGATTCATAACTAATTTACGCAGTTTGCAAGTGTTCAAAAAATGTTTGTGCAGTGTTCAAAAAATGTTTGTGTTCGATTATCGAATCAAATTGAGTTACGAGTAAATAACAAGTGATGATTACATATATACCTTTTGTAATTTCGTGAAATGCATTGACACCTTGTTTACATTCCATGGTACACTAGCGAAGTAGACAAGTTAGACGAAACGTTTTTAGTTATATACGAGCAATCTTCTACGTGGATTATAACAAGAAAGAGATTTTTTCCAGATGTAAGTTTGTATAACTTCCTCAGCATCCGTACCATTAATGTTAAGTAATCTCACTTACTGAGATGTGTTCGATGAAGTCGAACGTCGTATTGTCTGTATAAAAAAAATCACAATCAGGCTTTGGAAATACGGAGCTGTGTTTTTCCAGAGAAAACGTTAGACATGTTATTTTAGCAACTCTCTATGGCCACGTATTTGTACGACCTCGTGAACGTAATCTCTACATTTTTTTAATAATGTTTCAAATGGCGGTACCATTATTGTGCACTATCTCTAATCATTAAAAAAAATATGTATATACATACATATATGTATATGTATATGCATGTATATATAAAATTGTGTTGCGTTTTACCATCAGCTTTAGCAGAAGCCATTTTTCTCATTATTCAATGTGATGTTATGATGTTAATTGACGAAGTTTTATGTATATAAATATGTTTGATCTATTCCAACTAACTGTCGAGCGTCTTATGTGTTCCATATATCCAGACTAATTAACGAAAAAAAAAATACAAAATGATAATAACGAATTATATATATATACACACACGAAGAGGTTTCTCGAGGACTAATAGAAAATATTGTTCGATGGCGGTTTTTTATAAAAAGAAAAAAATGCACAGGCAAGGAAAAGAGTCGCTCCAAAAAGACAATATAAGTTTTGGAAGCAACATAAATTCTAAATTTTTTTTTCATACGTACAATATATATGATATTATTAGTTATTAAATAAATTTAGTTTATTAAATTAATAAACTCTACTTCTCAACTTGAAATATAATAAGTCAGAGCTAATTCAGAATTATCGATCGTTGTGCTTCACTAATATCCAAAGCCTGAACGTAGTTCAAGAATTTTATAGCATTAAAGAAAAAAATCTATTATTAGTTTGTAGAGATCATTACTGTAATTTTGTTACGGCGAATTATATCCAGTAGCAACTTAATAAATTCGTGTCTAGAGTTCAGAGGTAAACAACTGGAAAGGCCAATAAAAAAAAAAGAATTACAAATCTCGGACTCTGAAATATACGTAGTTTCTAAACTCAGTTCGGTGAAGAAAATAGTTTTTGTTATGATATTACGTTGCACTGTTCTCTTGCAGAAGAGAAGATATTCGTAGATGTTTAGATGTGTTATTTGCTACAATTTTTAGACAATTTGATATTATCAATGTTACATAGAAAACCCTAAAATTTATTGCTCTCGGGAGATGCGCTGGAGATTTTTTACGCAAGATAAAAAAAACCATACAGTGTCATCCCTTTATTTATACATACATATTATATATACGCATCTTTTCGATTAGAAGAAAAAATATCCAGTGATTTGCCATTTAGAAAATTAACGATATTTGATAAGTACGACATCTTAACAGGGGCCATACAAGAAAAAAAAGTTTAAGGCTCATTAAAGCGCTTCGGAATATAAGGAATAATTATTACACGCGAATCGACGCTGTCAGCTTACACATGGATCGACGCTATCAGCCAGAGAATTCCTAATGCACCACGATATTGTGAATAGAATATTTCCGAGAACGAAATATATCTGCCTTAGTAGGAAAGGAAGGACTTAGCGCAATAAAGGAGAAAAATCAATACTCGTGTTAATTTACATATTTGCTATTTATTCCTATTGTTTGAATAGTCTATAGTGTGTTACGCTCTTAATTATATTGCCCTCGAATGTTGTATTATAAAACTATTTACACGTAATTATTCGAATAAATTCTAATTAATGCTTTAGGAAATCTTCATTAAATCAACGAGCAATCTGTTATTCTTCGGCGTAGGGGAAGAGCGAATTGTTCACAAAGAATCTCGGGCATTATAAGATAATTTCGGTTAGGAGAGCATATTTACTGGTGCAACAGGAGCTTTTTGGTTCATGGTGTGTTTATGGGATATAAATATATATAATAAATGCAATATATAAATATAATAGCAATTTTTACGAAATCGAAAATCGACGAAGCTAGAAAGTATATATGTACTTGTATATTAATATCATTTGTATAATAAAAATTTCTTTAAATTGTGCATTCTGTGGTATATATGCATATGTACCATGCAATGAATACACGCAACCAATTTCTCGTTTATGATAATAATTTGTGGGTACAGAAGCACTGAAAATATTTTAGTTTATTTTTTTTTTATTAGTATTTTAATATACATTATTCCCAATTTACATAAGACTGAATCAACAGTAAAGTAAAATAAATAACATAGTTAAAATTTAGTGTTGAGAAGTCATGGTTTCACTATTTCGACAATCAATATAATTACTTTTGTAAAACGAGTCGTCAATCATATCTTTCATATTTCATTTTAGCTTCGAAAACTTATTATTAAATTGAAATTTAATAATATAATTTAAAAAAAAAAAAAAAATGTCACATTTAATGTGTGCTCTACGTTTTTACAAAAATAAAGTTATATAAAATAGAATTCTTACAGTATGTATATTTTAAAATATCGATTTTTTTATGACTATATAGTCATATTGAAAAAAAAATTTCTTTTCTCTTTCTTAAATTAACGCCACAGTGCATACAGATCATACATATACATATAAGTTTTCATTGCAAAAATCAATGGCAATATTTCGAGTTCTCAGTTACCACGGTATCGTATGTTTTTAATACTGCAGTTCACTTGCAAATTCGACGGTTCATAAATGAGATTCGTATAATCGTGCATTTTCGAGAGATAAGTATCTTGGTATATTAAAAATAAGCTAAAGTTCCATTTCGTAGCAATTCGCGTATGGTCTAACTGTATAGACTCTAAAATACTATTGTATATGTTAAAACATTTGTAATATATACATTAGAGCTACAGTTAGTACATTGTAAAAGCGTTCTTAGAACTACGAGATTCATATACAGAATACTTCACAAATATATTATGACTTGCTTGGTTCGTGTGAGAGATCTCTCTTCCCTCCCCTCTCTCTTTCTCGGAGATTCGAATTTCATAAAATAGTTTAAACACGAATATATCTGATATCAGTTTTGTAACGTACTTAAAAAATTGTTCTACTGTACAGTTAACAACATGATTATCATACCCCCTGTTTCTTGCTCGACAAATTCTCAAATATTTCCTATTTCGATACAATCTTGTACGGACTTGTAGTGAATGGTTGGATGCTATCTGCTGGGCCGCTGCTCCTCCACGAGCGCTATCAATCGCTGCCGCGTCTTCTTATTATTTTGACACGTCGCCGAAATCAGGCCGACTAAATGTTTAACTGAATACTCCTGCAAGACCATATTTTATATGCTAGTGTTTGTCGGTAAAGAATTAAAAAAAAAATTGCCAATATATTTATAATACTGCAAACGTGTATAGGTACCTTGTGCTCCTTAATCCATTCTTCGAAGCTATTTTCAGGAAGGTAGTACGCCTTGATGTACAACTCAACGTACTCCCTATGCGGCATAGGTCTCAACGACGTCACTTTCTCGAACTTCGACTTTAGCTGCGTGAAATCGAGCTGCATCAGAGCTCTACCGCCATTCGAACACTTTTTAGCATTGGAAAATCTGGGGCGACAAAAAAAAATTACGTTTCTGTTAGCTGGCGTTAATTCTTTTAGAATATAAGTACTCTTAGATAGATATATCCATTAAGTTTTCCGTACCCTTCCACTAAGGTGTGTGTAATTAAGTGGGCCACATTTTCCCACACCGCATTACATATATCCGCATTCAAAGGTATGTACGTTCCAATAGTGTTAAGTCTCTCATTCAAAGTGCACGTTTCCTACAAAAAAAAAAATTTTTTTTTAAATGTCAAACAATAGTTTCGATATCATGGCTGACAAAATTTCGTTTAACAAATAGCGACACATACTTCGAGTAGTGCATCGATGTAATTACTATGTTGAGACATGACGTCCGTCACCTCCCAATTGACTTTGTTCATTAAATTCAAAATATTTGCAACGTCAAACGCTTGCGACGTCACCGCCATGTAGACTGGCTTTCTCAAGTCTGCGACGGACGCGATGGTTTGCATGTAAAACTGATGTAAGAATCCTCTCTGAGGACTGCTGGCGATCAGATGCTCTAAATAAGGCCTTAAGCCTTCGTACTGTTGTCCTAAAAATATCAGAGACTCGACAGCTACAATACGTTCCGTTAATCCGTGAAGTTTCTCGGGCTGCGACAAATTCACAATGGATGAAAGCTGTGGTTGCCTTACTTTATCGTAATTCGCATTGCCATTCTCTTCCATTGTATCGTTCTCTGAGATAATCAGAGTCTCTCTAATTCGCGCTAAGGACAATTTCAATTTCGGACTGTACAACGAGTCGCTGTTGATTTGCTGAAAGAATGAAGAACCGGTACTCTCTGAATCGCGTTCCAGCCGCGCGGGCATATAATTAAGAATCGTAAAATAATTTAAGAATAAACGTGAACTTACGAGATCCGACGTAAAGAATAAGTGTACTGTGTAGAAGCATAGCTCGAAAAATTGTATCATGCTCTGTATGACAGTGACCGCGATTGATCGTAAAAGCTTCGACATCTGTAGATACTTGCCGCACACCCTCAGTACGCTTAACGTCGTGTTTGTGACCATAGGCCCCATAGACTGTTTGAGCTTGCACTTCTTTTTATTAACTTTCGTATGATCCAGCTCGTCGACGTATTCGTGCTTCAATTCATCGGGAATATCCTCGTCGGATTCGTCCGAAAAGTACGCGGGTTGATCAAGCTAAATAACAAAACAAAAAAAAACCGTAAAAGATCAATGATATCGGCAGCGTTAAATTGTGTCAGTTTAATGATTTTCCTACATCATTGTTTATTAAAATATCCTCATCCATGGTGTCATCCAAACCCACTGTGAACGGCGACAAACCGCCCTCGAGATACTTCTGCATGTCGACTCCCGTAGAATTATCGCTGTCGCTTAAGGTCGAGCTGTCTAGGCTATTCCACGCTTTACAGTTATTGAGCGAAGGTTTCAGACTACGAAACTCCAGTAATTGTGTAGCCACAAAATCGGACTTGACAGGACACAATTCCCAGCCGTCGTTCTCCAGAAACATTTTCAATTCGTCCAAGCGAGACGCGTGATAATGAGAAAAGTAAGATAGGGACTGCTGCTTTATGGACTTCTGCAAGTTCTCCGATTTGAAACTACAGAGGTCCTCCCCAATTTCCATCAACCTATAATTAACAGACAGTTTAACGGACGGTTCGTTTATTTCGCACCAACTGATACAATTGATATCGTTACGTACGATCAACATTTACTTACCTGTTAACTATACCCAATACCTGGACAAACTGTTCGAACTTGGTACTTGTCAGATCTGTGTTCGTCAGGTATATCGAGATCTTCCCTTCCACTTCGTGCCACGCTCGGACCATGCTGTGCTCCAATTTTTGCTTGACGTACTCCTTGCTCAGTGTCGCCTCTAAATCCTTAACGTCGGACTTACCCTCGGCCTCCTGCGCGTTATGCCAATTTACAATTAAGTGATGCGAATTCAGTATTGTCCACAGTGATTTGCATAATTCCGTGAGGCAGGCTATACACTTCTCACGGGGCACGGCCTGGCACTGTTGCTCGTATTGTCTCTTCACCTCACCCCCCGCGTAGCTGTGGATAACGGCGTCCGCCGTGTTGTGAATGGCAACGACGAAATACATGTGCAACTGATCCATGGCAGACTGAGTCTTTCCCAGCAACGCGTACGCTTCCTGAATGGACGAGTACACCGCGACGTCGAATTCGGTGCACATTTTAGAGAGCGTATTGTCTAAGGTACTTTCCGCTTGAATCAAGATATTCTGCAGATTCGCGTTCAGCTCGGCGATGCAGTGGAAATGCTTGTAGGTTTGAGCGGCGATCTGGCACTCCAGAAGAAGCGATATGGCCCCAGGATAATTCCCCTCGTTTAGAAGCTCCTGCAGACGATCCCCGGTGCATTGCTGCACAATAATTTACAATGTAAAAAAAATCTTTAATTCGTTTTACGAGAGATATGAAGTTCAAATTTAGCCTCTTACGAAGCATAGATTGTCATTTTAAGGACAAGCGTAAAATACAATAAATTGACTTACCAGGGTCTTTATAGTGTTTAAACTATTTAACAGCTCCTGGGTTACTTGCCGCCTCTGATAGTTAGCCAGTATACCTAGACTCGCCTTGGTAAATTGTTTCTCAGCCAATTGCAGATCCGCCCTTCCCATCTTACATATGTCCACGACGTCCTGCAGTTGGTCCTGCAGCAGCAGAATTTTGTCGAACTCCGCTTTACAAGCACTCTGCTTTTGCAAAATGAGCTGCAGCACTTTCTTGGAGACAACTTGATGTTGCTGCTTGAGCTTCTTGTAGCACTTCTCAATCTCCTTCGAGTGCAATATTGTTGGCAGTTTTGTTAATTCGTAGCGCGACGAATCGAAACTATCGTCGGTATTGAAGTAAACATCTTCGATGGAGTCTAACACATCTTGATCGGGTATGGGCTCGCTCTCTGTCGACTGATCGGCCTCGGAACAAAGGTCTTCGCATTTTTGCAGATCGGGTGGATTGAGCAGATCTGGATTCAAGCCCATAAGCGGCACTTTAGTTGCATTCTAAAAAAAAAAAAGATAAGCAATCTCATTTATTTCGCAATAACACAGTTTTTAAATCAAGCGTTGTTTTCTTTAATTTCAGCTAATATTCATGTAATATTAATATAGATCCGAATGGACTTTTTTTTTCAAATATGTACAACCGAATTATGTGGACATTGTAAATATGCACATATAAAAATTGTACATTTAGATATATAATTCAACGTACGTATTAAATATAAATGAATTAAAATTTATATATTTATTAAATTATATGTATTGTGACATAAATAACTGTTAAGAGAGACGTAATATAAGTGATATCAAGATGCTGGGTTCTCAAAATTGCTGTTTTATCGATGACGGTTCTCGTGAAAATCAATTACGAAAATAAGAAGGACAAGAAGTAACGCGGTCTGATTTGACGTTTCGTTCTTGACAGCGAAATGTCAAATTCGACTGGGTGCACATCGACTTTCCGAGTCGTTACATAACCTAAGTTCCTGGACAGCGCAGCAAACGAAGCCGCGCTTGTACGTTCGCCAGTTACGATATTCGCTCGGAGTAGTCGTGGAGACGGGCTTGCCTGCTTGTTAATGAGGTCGAAAAATTTCATCTTCAAATCCTCCATGATGTCGGACTGCATCGCGATCGTCAGGCCAGACGCATTCTCGTCTGTTTACGCGACTGTAATCGGCCTGGCTGAGCTGGTTGCGCCCTGCGTTACCGTGACATTTTCAAGAAGCAGGGAGCGACATAATAAATCTCGACCGAGCATCGACGGTCCCCCCTTCTCCTCCCCCCTCCCCTTCACGATTCTCTAATCGCGGATTTCGATTCGAATCCGAGGGAAGAGAGGAAGAAGAGAATTGCCCCGATTGCCCGTCCACATGCGTGGAAAGAGAAAAGAAGCGACAGCGACAACACCGAGAGGTTGCCAATTCCCTTTGAAGTTGGCCTGCAAAGTTGCGCGTCGATACCCGCGGCACACGACGAGAACTTAAAGTTTTCGCGATATGTACGTTCAGGTATACGCACAAAGTTTCGTAACGAGAAGAGCCTCCGATAAAATCTCTGTGAGTTCTCCCTTCTTGGATTACAATTTTTATAATAGAAATAGAGAGAAGGAAAAGAATCTTACGTAACCCAATTCTTGATCGCATTTAAATGTAAGAGACACGTATGCAAAGCGTATATAGACGCACTGATAATATATTCGTGTTGCGCAATGAAGATTACTTAAGGAGGCAGATGGTAAAAATAAAGTGGCGAGATCGTAGTTCATTATAATTACATGCGATATCTATATAGGGTGTCTTTAGGAGATCATTATATTTTCATTCATATACTTATCAAATAAAATGCACGTATAATGTAATGTATAAGTAAGATAACGATTAGAAATAATTTGTTTTACTTTTCGAAACAGATAGATATTGTTTTTTATTGCGTATTCTAGGTTAGTTTCTCTGAAACGCTAAAATATACGTATAATTAGTACAGGTATACAGCATGAATTAAGTATTACTACACTGAGAAAAAAAAGTTGAAACAATTAAATGCGTTTTATATTGACAGTTTTTCTTTGGTTTAATTATATATGTTTTTGAATTAAACATATACATCAATAACATTTGATATTTTTGTGAATTAACAAGCATTTTATGTTGAATTAACAAATATTTGTTTGACAGCCCGTGATCGCCAAATATAGTTGAATCAAGAAATATTCATTTGATTTTACTTTTTTTTTTCAGTGTACGTAAAGAAACCAATATTTCAATAATAAGAGAGAATTAAGAGATGATAAAAGAAGAAGGGATCAGTTTATACTCATTGTCAGACCAACAATTCATAAACGAAAATAAAGATCGGAGCGTGAGTTGAGTGTAAAAAAAAATATGAATGACAAAAGCATGAATGAAATTTACAGGAAGCGTAAATTGGAACAGCGAAATGTAAAAGAAGCATTTATCTTTTAAAAGCATTAAAACGCTTCTTTTACGCTCTTCCTCCCTCCGTTATTCTTCCTTTACATTCAACTTACACTCCAATTTTTATTTTCGCCAGGGACGTGTACAAATTCATAAAATTTATGAAAATGAAATTTTTCCCGCGTTCAATTTTAAAAAAACTATATTTTGGAATAATATTAATATTTTTTCGTTATGACGATATATCAAGAGAAAGATTGATTTTTAAAATATTATTAACATGTATATGAATTTCGCGTATTGATGCTGTGAGGGAATCAATGAAGATGAGAAAAGTACAGCGGAAAGGAAGAATAAGATGATAAAGCACGCTTGGGATGTGCTAATGCCACGTAATAACTTGGGTAACCACGTTTCATCTTCCTGAGAGTTTTAATAAATAGAGACTTCCAAGTTCTATAAAATCCGACGCCAAGTGTTAAATTAAAAGCTAAATTAAAAAGAATAAATTCTCTCCCTTGTGCAGTTGCTTTAATTTTACGACTGTACAGGGGAAAGAATTTCATTTTCTAACAACAAATGTAATAACGGACATTATATAACAGACATTTAGAAATTAATTTTTTTTTGTCATTCAAGCGCAAATATACCTGTCACTTTTTTTATTATCAAAATCTTATCGGCCAAATTGATGCCAAAACCACACACAGCTTATTTTTTTCACATATCACTCTATATATTATAAAGTCAAGTCTGCTGTGAAATTATCTATGAAATTAACCGTTTCCGTAATAATATCCAATATATTATTGGGTCTGATGTCAATCTTTATTCAGAACGTCGCGGCGAGTAGTTTGCGCAAATTCCGAGCGTTCATTCTTTGCGATTGTGAGTAATCGATATTGCGATGTTCTATTGCGGTAAACGGTACACTCGACATTATTTATCAATCTCATTGTGTCGCTTGGAGAACTAGCTAAAGAACCGCGCGTTAGAGAAATTGGCCATTATACGCACGCCGACTCGAGAGCGTCGAGTAATTACGGCGATAATAGCGGTTCGCCGTAGAATTACTAAGCGCCGACGTATTACATATCGCGGGCGCTTAAAAGTACCTTGTAACGACAAGCGAAAGTTACCTATTGGGCGACGACAGGAGTGTAACGGGGAGCCGGGGACCGGAAGTAATAAGAGAGAGAGAGAGAATACGCTTGATGCGCGAAGAGTGAAAAGAGGGAGGAAATGTCAGTACACCGATGAAAATTTAATGCAATGTGAAAGGAGGTATTCCTACGCTGAGAGAACAATGAAAATACGATACCGACGTATTGCACCTGTACGGATCGCCCGCGTTTACCCACCCTCCTCGTTTACACCACTGGGCGACCGAGGGGTTGAAATCGATGCGACTGGGCGCAACGGCAAGCGTGGGTGTTCCAGGGTAGACCTGCGATCTCGCGTTTCTCGATTGGCCGCATCCGGCGTAACCCAACGGCCGATTGGTCGGCCGGTTTCCCACGCGTCGTTTCCACCCTTCTCCCTCTTTCACCCCCGAGGTACCAACGCGAGCCGGCCGCAGGTGAGATCGCGTGGCGCAGGTGTGTTCGCAGTGTGGCTGTGCACCGTCACGCGCCCAGTAGAGGGATAACATATCTTTTTTCTTACGCGCGTAAGTGGGAGAAAGGAGGCGAGAGCGGAGCAGCCCGAGGGAGCGAGAGACCGGAGAAAAAAATTCCGAGAAAAGGCGAGCGAAGAGTGGGTGGTGAGAGAGCGACCTCGTCGCGCCGTTAACATTCGCACCCACGCATACAGACGCAGCGCAGCCGAAGCGGAGTGCTCTCGGGGCGAGGGACCTTGCGCGAGCCACCCCGAGGAGTTACTCGAACCTTGGTGGCGCACCAGATACCAGCGGGCGAGCGAGCGAGCAGGTGATTCTCGCGAGGGTGACGATACATCGCCGGGGTTCGCGTTCGCGAGAAGGAACCAGGGATTCTTCGCGGTGAAGAGGAGCCCCCCTCTGTAGCAAGAAGAAGTGAGGAGAGAGAGAGAGAGAGAGAGAGAGAGAGAGAGGAAGAGGATACCCCCGAATTCGAACTCGTCGTCGCGACAGAAAGAAGAGGAGAAAGGAGCGTGTCCGCCTGCCTGACTCGAGAACATCGCACGTCCGCATCCGCGAAGCGAGGATGGTACGGAGATTCTGCAACGGCGCGGTTGCACTTGGCATCGCCCTGACGGCCTGCGCCGCCTTTCCGCGCGCCGTCATGGCGATCGACCTCAGCCGCTTCTACGGTCACATCAACACGAAACGTTCGGGTAAGTCGACAACGGGGGATCCTCGCGCGCGAGGCGAAATTAGGAAACGGCGAAAGCTCGCGAATGCACCCTCGAAAGAGCACGATTTTCGAGCTGACGGCGAGACCGCGAGGGTTTTTAGGCGCGCAACACTGAGACGATCGCACGGAAGAAATCGTCAAAAATAAAATCGCGCGGGGAATTCTATAAAGGATATTGTTCTAAAGTGTTTTTTTCTCTGGAAAATATGAAAAATTGTGTGAATGCATAAGCACACGTTACAATTTTAATGAATCTTTCATCTCGAATGATTGTGTAAATTGTAGAATATTCAAGTGAACATAAAATACGCGTATTTTTGTGTATTTTTAAAAATATGCATTATTTTTTGAAGTTAATAATCTTTCTAAAATTTTTATTATAACAAAAATTGTACAAACAATAATATATATATTTTTATATATTGTATTTTTTATATTTCTGTATAACACATTTTTGTCATATTTATTTTATCGATTTATTCGCAAAGTTTTATGGAGTTCATTTTTTTATTACAATACGCCGATAGTATATCCATGCATATATAAAGTCACCTAGAAACGATCAATCAAATATTATCAGCATTTATCAAATATATATTTTTTTTATAGTTTTGCTCTTACAAGCTATTTTTTTTGCTTAAACATCTTGAAATTGAAGCAGTTTAAAATAAAAAAGTTGCATCGGAATATTTGATCGATGTATCCTTATAATTTGCTACATCTTTTATATCTTTTTAATCTTTTTAACGTTAACGAAATTTATAATTCTGTTGTAAAACTATCACAGTTTAATGATAGCATAATTGTTTATGATAAATATAAACGTGTATTTATATACTTTACGCATTATTAATGTCAGAAAATATATTAAACATTAAAGAGGTATATTAAATATTTTAGATGTTTAGAAGGTAACTCGTGCATCATCCTGTCTGCGCAAACATAGTCTTAACTACTGCAACCGCTGAGAAACTAGGATCAGCTCGGGAAACTAATTTAACTTTTGTGCGATTGCGAAATTCTAATTAGAGACAGTAACTGCAGATAAATTAATTAAATAAATTAGCTAAATGAAACTTACGAATGAGTGTTTGCAAAATCCTCTTTTGCATGTGCCGGAAATGTATAAGATGCATATAAGACGTTTCGTGTTTTATTCTTCTACCGTCATTTAGTAATTCTTCGACTTACTTTGATGTTCGCTTCACGAGAGAACTTCACATATTGAGAGAAATCATTCCCATTTTCTTACAGCACTTCTTATAGCTTGCAGCTTCACGTATTTATTCATTTAAATTGTTGCATAATCAAACTGCAAGTGAAAAATCTGCAAACAAAACTCCGCTCGAATTAACCAAAGACTATAGTAATAAAATGGTTTTATTATAAAATTTGTTATTTTTATTATTTATAAAAGAATACGATCGGTTCGTCGATTCGTGAGACACCGCGAAAGAAATTACAAACTTTATCCTTCACGTAACGTATGAGATATACGTACACGTGTAAACTTTGCCTTACAGCAAGAGTAAACATTTCATATACGAGCCCACGCGGGATGCTTGTTAGGGCACGGAATGAAGAGAAAGCTTCCGGGAGACTGTTGCCCTTCGCATTATCATGTTCCTCCTGATTAACATTCATTAAAATTAACGGGCGCGGTGGACGGCGGAGACGTTTCGCTGGGACTTCCCGACCATACGGGAGCGTGTTTTATACACTCCGACGGTTAGTGTACGTGTACGTGTTCGCTCAATAACGCGCATACTTAACGCGTACCGAGTCGTATATAGTACGCCGATGACATTTAGAAACACGCGTTTTTACTCAGCTCGCGGCTATTCAGGGCCGGGCTGCCGCGAGGCGGGCTTCATGCGGTCGTTGCATCCCCTCTGTCTTACCCGAGCCCTCGTTTCTCGCAGTTATCTATTGCATAAATCTATTTTGTCTTTAAAAAAATAGTAATGATGTAATAAATATCGTAAAATTACGCCAATAAAAATAAAGTTTAGACTTGCTCTATAATTCTTTCATCTCTCGCCGTGCTTTCATTTTTTGGTAAAAATAATATTTAAACTTAAAAAAATTATATCCAATATCTCCTCTTTTATCCGAGGAGAGTCCTTGTTTCTTGCAATCATCTGTTGCATTATTTTCTCTTTAAAAAGAAGTAATGATATCGTAAAGTCATGCCAATTAAAATAAAGTTTTTTTAGACCTGCTCTTCTCTCAACAACAATTCTTCCATCTCTCTGCTTTCATATGAAATAGTAAAAAAATTATATCCAAATTAAAAAATTATATTCGATATCCTCTTTTTTACTCAGTTCTTGTAATTATTTATTGCATAAATCTATTTTTCCTAAAAAAAAAGTAACAATATTGCAAAGTTGCGCCAACTAATATAAAATCTAAACCCATTCTTTAATTCTTTCATCTCTCACTGTACTTTTATATTAAAAATTTCATCCCCAATGACCCCAATATTATCTTCTGTTTTACGCGAGCGTTCATTTCTCATAAATATTTATTGCATAAATTTATTTTTCCTAAAAAAAAAAGTAATGACATCGTAAAGTTGCGCCAACTAAAATCTAGACCCACTGTATAATTCTATCTCTCATTGTGTTTTGATATTAAAAATATTATACTCAATATTACCTCTTATTTCACGCGAGTCCCCATTTTTCGTAATTATCTATAGCATAAATCTATTTCTTTTAAGTAAAAGTAATGATATCCCAAAGTTGCACCAACTAAAATAAAATCTGGACTCACTCTATAATTCTTTCATCTCTTACTGTACTTCAATATTAAAAATGTTATGAATATTATATTAAAAACATTATATTGAATATCTTTTGTTTTACGCAAGTCTTCGTTTCTCATAATTATCTCTTGAAAAATCTATTTTTCTTAAAAAAAAGTAATTATATTTCAAAATTACGTCAACTAAAATGAAATTTAGACACGCTATGTAATTCTTTCATCTCTCACCATGCTTTGATATTACAAATATTATATCCTGTCTCTAATATCCTACATCTGCGAGCTCTAGTTTCTCGTAATTATCTATTTTTCATCAACTCTTTGGGTTACTCTTTGTTTTGCCTTTATTTTTATACTTTTCATACTCATTTTCAGAGAATTTTTCTTCGGAGAAATAAGACGTCTTTTAATCGTCTTTCCGCGAACGGATTCATTCTAACTAAAATAAGAAATGAGTAAGAGCTTCATCGAATTTGTGAGAACATGTTCCATCGACTTCTTTCATTTGATATCTTATTTGATCTCTTATTCATATCTTATTTTAGCTGGAATTAAATATGCTCTCGCAAAATTTGATGAAGCAGAAGTTGTTTCTAGAAATAAGACGTTATCAGATATCAGTTTCTATTTAATTTCCATATCTTTTGTGTCAACTATATTTTTCTATTTTTCATCTTTGAAACGGAGCTTGGCCAGATCTTCACAAGTTATAGATTCGAGCTCGCCTTAAACTGTTTGCAACTCGCATCCCAATATAGAGAGAGAATTCCTACGCGAATTCTCTCGCACGAACGAAGTTTCAACAAGTTTATGCAGCAGAAACTTTATAACGTGCGTGCGGGGAATAGAAGTCCAAAGTGGTGGTTTCGAATCGAAAGCGATCCTATTTAAAATTTATCGCACCTGTCGCGCGTCTCCCTGGTCTGCAAAGGGGCGCACATACGCGGCTCAATCTCTTTATTCTTTATATACCCTTTAATATTCCCCCGACGATTTCATTTCATTCGAAATGCATTGAGGTCCCGCGGTCCCGCGGGGGTCAGCGGCTACTCCTCGGGGGAATCATTATAGCCCGTCGATCGGTGAAATATAATTGTTTAACGTCGTTACGATGACGCTACGCCCACGGACGCGTGGGCGTCTTATCTAAACACGTGGGAAAAATTGCGACGCTATATAAGTTGCTGCAGCAGGTGAATATAATATCCCGCGGCCGGCTTTTAAATTCGAACGCGATCCTCGTGATTATGGGGCGGATGACGGAATTCCGGACACGGTGTGTGGGTTTCTCAATTGAACGGTAAAATGTTTGCTCGAAACTTCCCTTCATCTCTCTCCATCCACCCACGTAGACGTCCTGTCTCAACTCGCGCGAGAAAGAGAACTGCGACGTGTACATATAATAATTTAATAACGCTGATGGTCGGGGCCACCGCGCCGGAGGAATGGTTCGATACGGTTTTCGATATATACCGCGACATGTGTGTATGTGTGTGTGTAGATATCGAATTCTTAACGCGATCAAAATTGATTGTCACGAGACGCTCTGTGGACACGAGACGTACCGTGTTTGCGGTGTAAATTACGTTTTTACGTGCGAAACGTTAACGAACGTGAACGATTGTATAGCGAATATGTGGCACAATATTACACAATCGATCGCCGAGCACAACCGCTGCACAATACGATGTTTTTTCCGTTTCGCGCGTACCGCCGCGGGGATTGTTTTTTCCGTCGTACGAAAATTTTTCATTTTCCGCGCGTCAAACGAACGCGTGGGCACTAAATAGCTGGTGCTTTTCTATTTTAGAACAGTGCGCGAATAAAGGTCTCGCAATTATTACAAAACATTTCCTCCGAGATTAAAAATGGAAGTATAGCTTTTTCTAGCGTGGAACTCGCCGGAGTGCTCCGCACAAACAGGATGTCGATATTTGATCCCCTGGGAAACAGAACCTCTCAGATAAATATTCTAAGCCTCCTAAAGGAAGATCTAAGAAAATTTCTTTTTCTTTTTTTTAGAAGGCTCACATAAAACTTCGCTCTTTTTTTTTTAGTAGGGTCGGTACATAAAAATTTTCGACCGACTTTTAAATCTGACAATATTTGCTTAGAACTTAGAACGTGTATCTTGTGCAGAGAGATTTGTGGGGGACATATAAATTGCGAGGGAAACTTTGACGAAGGAATCGTTTGGCGGAGCTTCGGATTTTTTACGAGCCTCGAGAAGAGCAAACAATTGATATGGGGATTTACGATTGTTCCCTGCAGTTCTATATCGGATTAAGCGTTTCGGTTAATTGATTTTTCCGAACCGTCAACTCTATTGCGCGCCCACGGGCTGTTGTAGCGTGAGCTATGTGCGATCGCGTGTTTGCTCAATTATCCCGAAAGCCTGGTGGTCGCACGAAGGGAAGGGTGCTGCCGCATTACCCGTGCCACGTTTCATTAATTCCGTTTCGGATCCCGCACGTTATCGTTGTAATTTAATCATCCGGCGACTCGCGATCGTCCCATCGGCGAACGTAATCGACTTTCCCGAACTTCCATTTCCGCGGAAATGTGATTGAGCCGCATGTAACGGATATCCCTCCCACATACACACACACTCACACACACGTTCCCAATTATTTGGAAGCGGAGCGTACGCCCAGATTACTCTTCGCAAATCACTTTCATCAGATTACTTTTTCTCAAATTATCTCTCCCACTCTTTCTCAGAATTCATGCGTGCGTTTCAGAGGCTTGCCATCCGTACGAACCGTTCAAGTGCCCGGGCGACGGTATTTGCATCTCGATACAGTATCTCTGCGACGGGGCACCCGACTGTCAGGACGGATACGACGAGGACTCAAGATTGTGTACCGCAGGTGAGCCAATTAACTTTGAGTTTAATTAATTAATTAGATCTAATCAGTAGGCAGAGCGGGGATTACTTAGAATTATTAATTATCGCGTCTCGTTCTAACATTAAACGTTTGCCTATATGTCAAACGCCGGCTCGCTGGTGCGTGAAACTATACTGTCTGATTTTTAATATGTTTTACATTACGTTATAGTGTGGTTTTTAATTTTTCTCTTTGCGTAGGATTACCGCATTTCCCTGGCGGGAAATTTTATTTTATATATATATGTATATATAGGATTATTTTATACATATACAGGATTTTATTTAATGGATTCACTTTATATATGTACACTGTATGAGAAAGAGCGGATGTGTCACGGATATACCGCTTCGGTGTGGGTGCACTCGATGTTCCGTGCAACCGCACCGGGGCACTCCCGGGCATCTGTAATACGATAAGGGAGGGTTGCATCGCCGGTATAGGTGTGTGCGTTCGACGCATTTATGCAAAATGTCATCTTTTATATCTCGCTTTCACCTTTCTACACGCCGTATTCATAAATATTGATTAACCAGAAATGAGATTTTGCTACTCTTTGTTTCTCTGCAGATAGCATATTTAGAAGGAAAATTTTTGAATTAAAATTTAAGTGATGTTCATGATTACGGCGCTATAACTGATCCCCGGCGTTTGCCCAGGAGATAAAATTGAACTTTTTGCGCGCTCTATTTTCGTTTTATTTTACAGCCATCATGCTGCACGGTTACGAAATTTGCTTTTATTTGCTGTTACAGCCAAACGACCGCCCGTAGAGGAAACCGCGAGTTTTTTGCAGTCTCTGCTAGCCAGCCACGGTCCCAATTATCTGGAGAAGCTATTCGGAACCAAGGCACGTGATACGCTGAAACCTCTCGGCGGTGTGGAAAAAGTGGCCATCGCGCTGTCCGGTAAGCTTCCACGGGATCAAATATACGAAGTGAGCTTTGCGGTACCCGAATTATAACGCGACACAAAACAGGCCATCATCTCGGGCTGTTCGACTTGTTGTTCTCCGATATATATATCGCTGTATAACGCGGTGCAGCGGTAAATCTTTCCCACGTATCGGAAATCTATTAAAAGCAGCAATATCATTGTCGCACTAAACAGAACAATACCACGAGTGTCTCAATCCGCTGACTTCGACGTTAAAAGATATCGGCTCCAACAGACACTTGTCTCGTGTAGTTTAGCGCGATTAATCTGTATACACTTAAAGACTCCGAATTGTTTTTCTCTCGCGTCGCCTCTATCCTCGAAAAATCCGTTCCCCGCGAACCTGGCCCCCTGACAATCTGTTTCGGCCGTTCAGAGTCACAGACGATCGAGGACTTCGGCGCGGCGCTGCACCTGATGCGCTCGGATCTCGAGCACCTGCGCTCGGTCTTCATGGCGGTGGAGAACGGCGACCTGGGCATGCTGAAGTCCATCGGTATCAAGGACTCCGAGCTGGGCGACGTCAAGTTCTTCCTCGAGAAACTCGTTAAGACGGGCTTCCTCGATTGAACGGTCACTCTCGCCGCCGAACCGCCGCCGCCGCCGCCGCCGCCGTCGACGTCGTCGTCGTTGTCGTCGTCGTCGTCGTCGTCGTCGTCGTCGTCGACGAGGAGCCGCCGTCGCCGTCGCATCGCCGCCGGTGTCGCGTCACCGTCGTCGCACCAGCAGATCCTTCGTATGATGATGAAGCCTAAATCGTCCTTTCCGCGGGCACTTCTGTCTTTCCTTCGTCGCGAGTTCTCACGCGCAGGGTGTAGCCTGTCACTTTTCCTTCCTTTCCTATTCTTCTCGAATCTCTTGCTCTCGCTTCGACGCGACGAGCGCGATCACGAGCACCGAGATGACATCGTCGAGATACCCGCGTACGGTGGAGCGAATGTCCGAATTTTCTGCACGACGGGCGGTTTTCCCGTCGTCTCGCGTATCTCGTAGCTCTATCACGACTATCACGTTTCAGATAATTTCATTACGCGTGTCAAACGTATCCGCGCGGTGATCCGCTTATAGAGAGGAGTGCAATAATCAGAATGCGACTGACAATTAAATGTGTCGCGCTCGGAGAGTTTAATTTACGTCCGCGATTTGAATTCGCGTAGTCTGTCATTAAGGGAAAATATATAAGGACTGAGAAGTCGAGGGATTGAAAAATGTCTCGGCAAATGTAGATGCAACTGCTGTATATAACATACACGTTATACACGTGTCACGTCTATGTCATATGACAATTATATTTGTGTTTGCCGGGATATTAGGTTCTCCAAACACGATCCGCGATCTAAATATTATCTTTTAACTTTCTCAAATTGAAACGTCTTACAACACGGCGATTAAGCCTACTCTACTTCCTTCTAAAGCTTTGCGATTATTGATTCTAAATAACGCGATCGGAATTTTCAATGGGTGTTTTACTACAACTTGAACACTAGGGCATCACTTACGTGTCCCTCTTATGCTTGCCCTTAAGCTACGCGTCGAGGGACGCATCCTCTTTCCTCATGTGAACAAGTAATGAGCTTTTGTCCGACCTATTTCTAAAATATTGAGCTTCCTCATGTATCTTGTAAAAGTACTTCACTGAATCCACCTCGCTTATATAGGGTTCTCTCACTCTCGTGCACGTGTACGCCGCGGTCGCGCGTGTCCTGGTTTTCTTCGAGCCGCCGCGTCCTTAATATGCGAGCAACGTACACGGTACCATCCTGCATAAGTGATGAGACATCGATGACAATCGTTCGCGACCGGCAAGTGATGTAATAGTTTAAAAAATAATCCGACATACACGGTTGTGCATTAAACTTACTTAGAACTTGCGCGAAACTTGTTTCACATACGCGAGGAAACTTTCCCGATATTGATTATCCGCTCCGAGAGATTGAAATGTTTCTCATGAGATTGTAATTGAGATAAAATTGTCTGCGTGACAAATTAAAATTCTTAAACTTGGTAAAGTCGCTTCTGAGAGAGAGAGATTCTCACGAGATTGCTGAGACTTTATAAGGATCAAGCTTCAAACTTCGCAGGAGAAAACTTCTCTCGGGAAGTAATTACGTTCGAGCACGGGGGAGGATTTTTTAATCAAAAGCGCGTTACTTCGGAAAGGTCGTGCGGTAGGAGCTGATAATGCAATTCTTATTAAATGCCATAAAATTGGCTTTGCCGGAAGCAGCTTAATCTTATCGCGGCATGTATATGTGCTTCGGTGGCTCGAGTCGGAGGCGGGTAATCTGTATTACTCTCTGAATTATTTTTGGTATTACTTGTAAAAGAGCCACCCACGTAACGATTGTTCTTGTACGATTGTTCTCGATTATATTCCCCCGGCATACCTCCTTTAGACGTAATTTCGGACGATGTTGCGCAGTTTTTGTTGCGATTACGGAATTAATCTTGCGGGACAGAGAGAAACGATAGCTTTTATTCGGACGTTTCACTGCTGGAACAGTATTATATATTGATTTAAACCGACCGTTTTCTCGCGTGTGTTTTTTTATCTTTATTTTAGCTTCGTCATCGCGGTCGCTCTTATTCGCGTGGAAATGTTTCTCGACGCGGTACCGCGACGAACGAAAAGAAAAAAAAAACGAAAAGAAAAAGGAAAGAAAAAAAATCCAAGTAGCAAAACCCACGCCGAGAATGTATTATATGTACTCGGTATTTACACGGTATTTTCACCGCATCCAAGCACCAAATTGTAAATCTTGTCTTGATTAAGGTGACATTGATGGATGCGGGGCGGGAGAAGGGGAAGAAACACGTAAGACGAGATGAATCAGCCTTGTTTAATGTTACAAAAACGTGCGGTGGGAATACCGTTCCTCGCGTTAAAAGGATCCAGGTGCTCTTGATTTCTCTCGGTGCGGTCGTGAACGCCACGCACTCGTAACACGCAATACGTGCGATGTTGCAGGTCGCGTGCGTTTTTAAGAGAAAAAAAATGGGTACAAAAGAATAATAAGAGGAAAAAGAAGAAGGAGAAGAGGAAATAGAGCATCGCGTCTTTCAGGGTATGGCGCGCGTTTTATTTATTAGGGAAAGAAAGCAAGATTAAAAAATATATATATAATACTAGCGTATGATATTTTCATTACGGCAACACGATACATATCAGTACACATACATATCAATAAATTATATTTAAAAAATTATATTATATAGATATATATATATATAAATATAAAATGAAGAAAGTAACGGTGCCGGATTCTCTCGAGGTAGCGTTCCCCGTCTCGCTTTCCTTTTACTTCGAAGAGAGAGAGAGAAATTAACGCGTTATAAATTTCTATATACACACACATACACACACACATATATATACACATATGCACATAATATAAATATATATAAAAATTGTGCTATTCGCGACAATCGAGAAATCGCGGACGGGCGCGAGACCTCGTTTTTTTTTACCTCGAGAGAATGCATTCCCTTCCCGGGAGAAATGAGTAACGACATATCTACTTATCTAAGAGCGTATCTTTTATCGAAATCGAAAAAAAAAACGATACATTGAGACATATCTTCTAATTAATGTAACGTAAGCGAGTCTAGAGGTATATATTATAAATATTATACATAGCGAATACATATCAACAGAGAAATCACTCTTTTATCAGATGGTAGATAATATTTTGGTATATAAAGAAGAAGAAAAAAAAACGTTTAATATTCCCTCCAGATGTCAATTACGGTCCAAAGTAGGGCCTGGACCGAGGGCAAAATCCGAGGGAACTTGTGTGTTTTAGCGAACAACCGAACGGGGCATCAGACCGAGGGGTCATGGCACGCCGCGCGACATCCCTCTTTCTCTCTCTCTCTCCCTCTCCGCCTCCCCGTCGCGTGCCTTGACCCTTTGGCCCCAATTTCGAGTCGTAAGTCATAAGGTCAAATCTATCTCCCCCGAGAGCGGCAGACCGGAGTTCCACCAATATCTGGGTATACATATATATGCCACGTATCGGAGGCGCGTTACCCATCGTATTGGAATGATAAGAGATCCGTATTTTCCTCCCTCCCTGTCCCCCTCCCTCCTTTCCCCTTTGTACGTTTCATTATTCTAATTTACACGTGTTGCAGATATTCACCCCACGAAGAGCGGACGAAGTTGGTTTGTGTCAATTTGATATTCTCTCACTGTTTTACTGTAGATAATCCGATCGATGTTCAAGCAAGTAATATCGGTGCTTCTTGATTAAATTAGACTAGCGGAAGATTGAAATTTTGGAAATTAAAATCTTTTAATTAAAAATATATTAAATTAAATTCCATGTGAACTTATTACATTTCATAACATATTAAATTTCATGGTTATTTTAAAATGCGTTTACTTTTTATTCCTCCTGGACGTTTTGTAAGCCTTGTCGATGTGTTATGATTGATCCTGATTTCATATTTCAACAGCGATGCAATTGGTTTTCGCGGGAAAATTGTCGATCCGTCCACAGCGTTTCGGTAATGAATGGTTGCGGTCCTATACCGTTCGCCCTTTGACATTATTGTGACAAAGGGTAGCAAAGGGATTCGGCGCTGAATGTAAATGGTCGGGCTGGAAGCGACGTATCGTTAAAAAGGTCGGCTACATCATATTTCCTACGTATGGAAATTATAATTGGTTACGAAATTGCGTAACGTGGCGAAACGAAATATTGTACGATGAAAGCGTTCAAATTTAAATTATATATATAATAATAATTCAATAATTATTAAAAAGAGGAAACAACAATGTATAACAATGTAAGTCATACTATTTTACAATATGGTCTCCCTGATTTTCACATCGATGCCATCGGCAGCTTTTTCTCGAAAACAAAAAAAAGCTTTTCGCTGCAGGCTAATCCACTTAACTCTCGAACATTAATGACCTCTACTGTAGAGGTAAATTTTTCGGCACTTTTCTTTGAAGAGAGACTTTACATTTGTATTACACTATCCGACAACACCCATGGGAATTATGTTGAAAAATAATATGATGCTTACATTTCTGTGTTTCTTTTATTTTTTTTCTTGCGCGTAATTATTGAATTATAATTTAAATTCGAACGCTTCTTGTAACAGCAGTAGCCTGTGTTCGACGATGGCAAACGGCAATGTTTTCTTTTGTAATCGGATATTTAGCAGCTCGCTAAATATTCCGCGTTACATTCGAATCTAAAATTTCCAGACCAACAAACCCTTTGTATTGTATCCTGCGAAATTTGTCGAAAAATTTCGAGGAGAAACAATACACGGTAATTGCATGTTAATTTTAACAGAATTTACACACGAAGCGTTCTTTTCCCGTAAATTCGAAACTTATACGCCAGTATAGACGCGCTGCAACGGCTAATAAAAACAATGAAAACATTTTACACGGCGGCTATTATGCGCGCGATAGCATGGTCAATTGATTGACCAACGAAGATACGCGGTGCTTTTCTTTTACCCGGTTTTTTCTTTACATATTACACACGTCTACGTGCACGCTGCACGCGTTGTTGTTTCGTTGCTCTCGTTGCCCATTTACATTGTTGCGTTACATTGTTGTTGTAATATGCGTACATCGCTAATAAAGTCGTAGACGTTAAGTTAATCGATAAATCGAAGTGATTATATAGGAAAGACGCATGTAATCTTCAACCTTGTCATTTCAAACTGATGGCACGTATACGAGGCGCACGCATATACATGCATATGCACGACCTATATGTGTAAAAGGGGAAAAAAAAACGTATTGACCACTTTAAATTATCAGAGATTTCAACGATGTGATAATGTACTAAAAAATCTAATGCACCGTCGTTTTTATCTGTATATGTTTACCCTTTCGACTTCTGATTGTTCTACTGCCAAATGCGTCTCTTATTATACGTCTCCTGTGTTACCAACTTGCGACATACTGTGTACGCTGTAAGTAACCATCCGCTTCTTTTTTTAAGGTCTCTTTTGTATTCCATCTTCCGTTCAATTGTGAACGTCCAGGCGCTTTTGGGAATGATTTTGCGGCGCGACAATTGTAATCATTTAAATGAAGACCGAGAAGGTTCCTTCTCATTATCAGTTTCAATTGATAGTGCCTCCTAATTACGCATCGTGCGACAAGTTTTTTTACCTCATTAAACCTTGTGCGTGTGCGAGCGTTGGCGTAATACATACGTTGCATAATTACCTGATAAACAACACGATTATAGTCACGAATCTGCGCGGACCCGCCTGCATAATCGCAACTTCTCGAGGATTACTTTTTACTGTGTCTCACCCTTTACATTCGTTTGCGCTATTTTACTGACGACGTGATGCGATACATTCTGATCTAAACAACGATTTTACATTCGGCGGAAACACCATGTCCGTAGGTATAGGAATTGAACGAAGCTCGCTTATTTCGGATTGCGTGCTAAGGGATATTGGAACGTCGCGATATTACTTCAAACAGCTTGTTTTTTTTTTTGATCGTTTAAACAATAAAATATTACAGAAAGACTTCTGAATATAGTTATCCATTTATTTTACAATCCAAGCAGCTGTAATATATTAATATCATAGAAAATGTCATTTGAACACATCTTTCTTTTCTATGCTCAAATGTCCGTCGAAGCTGGCAATGAAATAAATTTTTTGTCGGTCGGTTTCACCAGTTCGTACTTCTCGGTGACTCCACCAAGTTTGTTCAGTTGTTTGACCAAACGCCATACATCGACTTTACGTGAAACTACCAGTTTTCCTATATAATACCGTGTATTGAGGTCCATTTTTCCTGCGATTCTGTAACATATATATATAAATTTCAGCGGCATTTCTTATAAATGTCAGATAACTTACAAGCGCCACATACTTATCAATCAGCATTCTGTCTTCTCTAGGAAAGTCCGCAAACACAATATCATTTTGCAAAATATTGTCCGTTTCTAAAAGTTTTTCACAGTTGACTATTATTTCGTGTGCCTTTTTTATTTTCAACCCAAAACCTTCTTGGTTTTCTTGTGTCTCGACTCTAAAAACAAAAATATGAAAATTTACAAGCAAAAGAGAGATAAAAGAATAAGAATTGTTTTAATAAATCAACGAACAGTGTCGTTGCACTAACATGGCTTTCATAGTATCTTGCCCCAAATTTCCAAGACTATCGCCAACCCAGCCCACCATCAATTTTTCAATGCAATCAGATCCGTTCCAATCGTCGTCGGGAAGAGATTCTTGCATTATGTCCATTGCCGTTACAACTGGATCTATACCCACGCCTACTTTAACCTGGATTTTACAATATACAGGTATATCTTAAACAACATCTATCCACTAATTATATAACGTTATTCTTCGTAAAAAAATCGAGTCGAAAAATCCTGAACCATTTTCCTCTGAATGGTCAATGAAACAGTAATTATTGCAATAGTGATCGTTTCCTTGAATATTTAGAAAAAAATTGTTCAAACCTTTTCAATTCATTTTTTTTTAAGAATAACGCTGTATAATTAGTGTGCGCTATTAAAGATATAACATGTAAAACAATGTTTTTAAAGAAATACAACAAAAATTGTACTTTATACGAAAATAATAAAAAAAACATAACATCTATTGCATTATATATAGGTCTGGTAATTATTGACAAAGCGCTCGTGTGCAGATAAAGCGGATTAAACTGAATCGAAAAGTACTGTACTATTTTGTGATTCTTACAATAGCCAACAAGAAATTAATTTATAAATATCTGCGAATGCGTGCGATTTCACGACAAGAGATGGCCCAATGTTTATCAGTCATTAGACACGTCGCGAAACTTGGAACGCACGCTTGTTAGATCTTTATAACTTACTTTCTGATAATTATTACGAGAATCGCAAAATGGTACAATACTTTTGTATTCAGTTTAGTCCGTTATATTGGCGGGAAAACGCTACAATAATTATCGGACATCATGTACATAATTAATTAAAGAATCATACAAATATCATTGATATGCCAAGAGATCTGTTTTTAAAAGATATTCCTATTGAGAAAATGACACACTTATTTTTTTACTTACTTTAACCGTATAGCAGCACTTTCGTAATTTTTTTAATGCAGCAGTGACTGCTACATTTCTGGCCGCTTTTTTATTCGAATCGGTACTACGACACAATCCGTGTGAGTTAATATTCATAAAGCATTCCCTGAAAAGAATATAGTGAGACATTTCCCATGTGAAACAATTTTTACACAACTATCTACACATATTTATGAACATTAAATTTTAAGGTATAAATATATAAATATATATAAATAGGTATAAATATAAAGCAATTTTCTTTAAAATACAAAAATATGCTTACCAGAGACGTTTTTTCTTAAAGAAATTCCATTGTAGGGCTTTGCCAGATAACTTAACTGAATAATTCAGCATTTCAAACTCACAGTCACCTGGTCTTTCCCATAAAACAATGTCTATGTATGGATTATTTTGATCTTCAAGTGAGACATCTTCGTCTGATTCTAATATTTCAGACTGTATATCTCCGACACATGGCTCTAAACTGTCTAATGATTCTAAACTCTCAGAGGATACATCTTCAAAATATGACTCTGTTTTTATTTTTTTAGCTGGCATTTCTCCGAAATATGATTCTGTTTTTAATTTTTCAGACTGTATTTCTTCGAAATACGGCTCTGTTTTTAATCTTTCAGATAGCATTTCTTCAAAATATGGCTCTGTTTTTATTTTTTTAGATGGCATTTCTTCGAAATATGGCTCTGTTTTTAATTTTTCAGACTGTATTTCTTTGAAACTTCTCTTAAATTTAGAAACTTCATGAAAGTCGTAATCGATCGCATTTAATACAGATTCTTTTGTAGCATTAGGAAGTGATTTCTTCTCAGCGTCAAGTTCATTTTCTTTGGCGTGTTTACTACTTTTATGAGACTGATTGGTAAAACTAACTGCATTTGATATATGGTCAAGCATGTTAGGTGTAGATTCATCTGTAACAGTAGACATTTGATCAGTACATCCCCTAAACAAATAATATTTCTCATATAATTATCACAATATCTCGTAACATAAATTACCAATCACATTTAATAACAGACACATAGTGTGCATAATGAAATACGAAAAAAAGAAAAAAAATTATCTATGTCACAACTCACAATTTTTCTTTATACCTTTTGTCTTAAAACTAGCTGTCTCTGAAGCTTCCACAAATGTTCTTTGTAACTTCTCCTTTTGCTTTTCTCTATATTCAGCCGTAACATCATGTGACAGTTCCTTCACTAAATCCATTGTTCTCTGCGGATAACTGAAATAAATTGGAAAAACTTTATAACAAACTTATACCTGGAAAATAATATTCATCCAATTTGTCCAATCATGGTATAAAGACACAAAAACGACGTGTCTCTATGGGGTATTATCTGCATCCTAACAGTTCGATATTGATGTATACTTGGGCTAAACAAACGAGCAAATCTTCTGGAAACTTGTCTTTGTGAGCGAGTAAAAATTTACGTCGAAGCTCCCAGTGCTCATCGGACTCCACTTTATGCTGCTCCACATCCCAATTTTCATTCTTCGCGCTCATCCTTCACTTGTCTTAGATCTTAATCTTCATTACCTGATTAACTTGTGATTAGACTTAACCTGAAGTTGTAACCAATGGACTTTATTTCTAAGTAAAACTTCAAGCTAGAGCTTCAGATTAAATCTAATCATAAGTAAATTAGATAATGAAAAGGGCTTTAATGTCTTTGGCTGCTTTACTTTTAAAAAATACATATCGTTAGATTTGACGAACGTACCTATGGTAATTACTCACAATCAGTTCAGAGACCTTAACTTCAATAATGAAAATCTCCAAATTGATTAACCTCGATGCGTTTTTGTACGAAACGGATCGCCAAATTATGTGAGTTTACAGCTCTCCACGAGAAGCGAGGTTCCACTCGAACAGATTTGTCTGGCCTTTTAATGGTGAAATTTCCCCGTAAGAGAGCGGAATCCACTTCTATGGAAACAATGAGGAGTGATCGAGATTCCACTTGTGTTTACACTTTCGTATTTTGCGCATTTTGGTTATGATAATGAACGCAGCGCATGTGAACATGAAGCCATCTATATGATTATATCCGTAATTCGCTACATCGTGTCGATATGACAGGTCTCAATAGTGACAAATTTTTATTTGATTTACCTCACTACGCCATCGAATGAGCATATTTTCATAAAAATCGAAAATAACTGATGACGACCGTCCTAACAATTACCATTATTTTAAACAGCTTATTGCTTTTTCTTTGATCGTTTAAACAATAAAATATTACGGAAAGACTTCTGAATATAGTTATCCATTTATTTTACAATCCAAGCAGCTCCGATACATTAATATCACAGAAGACGTCGTTTGAACATTTATCTTTCTTTTTTATGTATCAAATATCCATGAAAGTAGGCAATGAAGCGAATTTTTCGTCCGCCGGTTTCACCAGTTCGTACTTTTTGGTGATTCCACCAAGCTTGTTCAGTTGTTTGACAAAACTCCATATATTATCGACTTTACGTGAGACTACTAGTTTTCCTTTATCCTTACAATGATAACGTGAATTTAGGCCCATTCCTCTTGCGATTCTGCAACATAAATATATATATATATATATATACATATTGTCAATTTTCAGCGGCATTTCTTACAAACGTCAAGTAAACTACAAGCGCCACATACTGATGAATCAGGTTTCTGTCTTCTTGAGAAAAGTCCAGAAACACAATGTCGTTATGCAAAATATTATCCGTTTCTAAGAGTCTTTCACATTTGGCTAATATTTCGTGCACCGTTTTTTGCTTTTTCAGACCAAGATCTTCTTGCTTTTGTGCCTCGACCCTAAAAATAAGATGAAAATTTACAAACAAAAAAGAAATAAAAGAATAACAATTTTTTTTATAAATTAAGGAACAGTGTCATCCACCAACAGTGTTGTCCACTAACATTGAAGATTTTCGAAGAGCATCGCCGACCCAGTCCGCCGCAATTTTTTCAATGCAATAAAAGCAATCAGGTCTATTACAATTTACGTCGGGGAGAGAATCCGGCTTTATGTCCACTGCTGATACGACTGAATCTATATCCAAGCCTATTTTAACCTAGAATTTACAATATACAGGTACATCTTAAATAACGTCCACTAATTATATACCGTTATTCTTCGTAAAGAAATCAAGTTGAAAAATCCTGAACCATTTTCCTCTGAATGCTCAATGAAACAGTAATTATTGCAATAATGATTACAATGATTGCTTCATTGAGTATTTAGAGAAAAATTGTTCAAGACTTTTCAATTAAGTTTTTTTTTTTTTAAGAATAACGCTGTATAATTAGTGTGCGCTATTTAAGTGATATAACATGTAAAACAATATTTTCAAACAAATACGAATAAAACTTATACAAAAATAATAAAAAAAAACATTATTGTGTTGCATCATACTTATACAGGTCTCTGGTAATTATTGATAAAGTGTTCATGTGCAGATACAACGGATTCAACTGAATCAAAAAGTACAGTTCCATTTTGTGATTCTTACAATAGTTAACGAGAAGTTATAAAATTATGAATTTTTAAAGGTCTGCGAATGCGCGATTTGGCGACAAGAGATGATCCAATGTCTACAATCACTAGATACGTCATGAGACCTGGGAAAAGCGCTCTGCAAACAACAATGGACAGCTTGTGCATAACTTATTTTTTATAGAAAAATCCCCTCCCCTAAATTGCCTCGCCTAGAAATTGTAAAAGCTGGACTGTCTCTTGTTAACAAATGTATGCGGTCGCACGCTTATTAGATCTTTGTAACTTAATATCTGATAACTATTGCGAGAAAAATGATACGATACTTTTCAGTTTAGTCCGTTGTATTGGGGAGCAAACGTTTCAATAATCATCGGACATCATACATACAATTAATTACAGAATTACACAAATATCAATGACGTGAGATCTTTTTTTAAAAAATATTCCTATTGAGATAAAGACACACTTATTTTTTTATGTACCTTAACCGTATAGCAATACTTTCGTAATTTTTCTAATGCAGTGGTAGCTGCTATCCCTCTGGCTATTTTTTTACTGAAGTTGATGCCACAACTCAATTCGTGCGAGTTAACATTCACAGAGCATTTCCTGAAATATAACGAGATATATCCTATGTGAAACAATTTTTGCACAATTATATACACATTACACATATTTGATGAATGTTAAATTTATTTTCGATATATATTAATATATAAAGTATTTTTTTTTTTAAATACAAAAATATGCTTACCAGCGATTTTCATTATTATCATTCTGAAAGTACTCCCATTTTAGGGCTTCACGAGATACAGAAGCTGAAATGTTCAGCATAACAAACTCACTGTCACCCGGTCTTTCCCATAGAACAATGCCTCTGTATGGATTATCTTGATCTTCAAGTGAGATATATCTCTCTGTAATTAATCTTTCAGACTGTATTTCTTCGAAATATGGCTGTATTTTCAATTGTTCAGGCTGTATTTCTTCGAAATATGGTTCTATTTTTAATTTTTCAGACTGTATTTCCTCGAAATACAGCTCTTCGAAACATCGCCTGAATGTAGAAACTTCGTAAGACTGAAAGTTGTGATTGATTGCATTTGATACAGGTTCTTTTGTATTATTAGAAAGCGACTTCTTCTCGGCGTCAAGTTTTTTATTTATTCTGGAACATTTTTTAGGAGATTGATCAATAAAATTGGTTGCGTTTGATGTATGATCAAGCGTGTTCAATTCTTCTGCGACAGTAGATGTTTTATCAGCGCAGCCTGTAAACAAATATAATGTATCTCATATACCTAATTATCACGATATCTCTCCTCTCATACAGATCACAAGTTATATTTAGGCTGCATTTCGTTTTAACGCTCATGCGTTGATTTGACCTTGTTTAACATTTGATAAATAAAGATAAAATGATTCTATGAACGCTGTAAACGTCAAAAGTTATGAAATGCAGCCTTAATAAGAAACGTATAGTATGCATAATGAAATACGAAAAAAAAGGGAAAAAATTATGTATGCCACAACTCACAATTTTTCTTTATACCTTTAATCTCAGAACTAGCCGCCTCTGACGGTTCCACAAATTTTCTTTGTAACTTTTTCTTTTGCTCTTCTCTATATTCGGCCGCGTCGTCCTGCGACAATTCCTTCACTAAATCCATTGTTCTTTGCGGATAACTGCAAAGAGACGCAAAAACTTTACAGCAAATTCCTACAATTAATATTATTATATCTCGCTTCGCGGGGCAGAGCACTTTTTTTTGCCAGATTCATCCGTCTCATGCAAAAAAAATGCGTCAAGTGAGTCTATCTTCATCGAAATCGATGACAATCGTCTTCTTAACAATTACCATTATTTCAAACAACTTGTTTCTTTGGATCATTTAAACAATAAAATATTACGGAAAGATTTCTGAATACAATTATCCATTTATTTTAATTCAAGTCGCTCTAATACATTAATATCACAGAGGATGTTGTTTGAACATATAACGTCTCGCTTTTTATGTTTATATATCCGTAGAAGTTGACAATAAAACTAACTTTTCGTTGGTCGGTTTCACCAGCTCGTACTTCGCGGTGACTCCACCAAGTTCGTTCAGTTGTTTGACTAAACGCCATATATCAACTTTACGTGAGACTATCAGTCTCTTCCTTTTTTCTTTTCCTTTTATCTTCCTACAATTTAAGTCCATTCTTCCTGCGATTCTGCAACATATATATATTGTCAATTTTCAGCGGCATTTCTTACAAACGTCAAGTAAGCTACAAGCGCCACATACTGACGAATCAGCTTTCTGTCTTTTTTAAGAAAGCCCAAAAATATAATGTCGGTTTGCAAAACATTGTCCGTTTGTAAAAGTCTTTCACATATGACTATTATTTCGATCTTCTTTTTTATTTTCAGGTCATAAACTTCTTGGTTTATTTGTGTATCGACTCTAAAAATAAAAAGATAAAAATTTAGCAAAAAAGCAAGCAAAAAAGAGATAAAAGAATAAGAATTTTTTTTATAAATCGAGAAAGTATCGTTGTCTATACTAACATCGGAGACATGAGTTCCACGGTACCCTGATCCGATTTTCCAAAACTATCGTCAGGCCAGTTCACCATCAATATCTTTTCAGTGCATATAGATCCAGTCCAATCGGGAAGCGATTCCTTTTTGATTTTCATTGCTGTTACAACTGGATCTATACCCGAACCTTCTGTAACCTGGATTTTACAATATACAGATGTATCTTAAATAACATTCACTATAATTATATAGCGTTATTCTTTGTAAAACCGATTAGATAAGCCCTGAACCATTTTTCTCTACAATGCTCAATAAAGCAATAATTACTGCAATAATGACCAGTTTCATTGAGTATTTAGAATAAAATAGTTAAGACTTTTCAATTTATTTTTTTTTTTAAGAATAACGCTATAACGCTATATAATTAAATATGCGCTATTTAAAGCATACCCTAACAATTTTTGATAAAAAACAACAAAAACTATACCTTATACAAAAATGTTAAAAAACGTTACATCTATGTTGCATTATATACAAGCAATTGTTGACAAAGCAAGTGTGCAGATAAAGCGGATTAAATTGAATCAAAAATTATTGTACTATTTTGCGATTCTTAACCCTCTACTCGGAACACATGTCGAGAAACGCGTTTTGGACTGATTTTTGAAAATTTTTTTTTGGCAAAAATTTAGTTTACGTTGGGTTAACCCTCTACCCTGAATACCTGGTTACATGGAACACCCCATCATAATGACTGCTATTCCAGAAAAACACGAGTTTCATTCATTTTTCTACTGGTGTAAATGTGAACCTTAGCGGTTATAATGACCGATATTCCGGGCAGAGGGTTAACAATAGTTAATGAGAAATTAAATTATAAAGATCTGCGAATGCGCGCGACAAGAGATGGTCCAACGTTTACAGTCGTTAGGCACGTCGCGAGACTTGGGAAGAGCGATGTGTAAACAACAATGTGCCGTTTGTGCATAACTTGGTTTTTATAGAAAAATCTTTCCCATGGCCTCATTTAGAAATTGTAAACGCTGGACTGTCTCTTATCAAATGTATGTACTCCTACGGTTATTAGACTTTTGTAACTTAATTTCTTGATAACTCTTACGAGAATCACAAAATGGTACAATACTTTTATATCCAGTTAGTCCGCTCTACTGGCGTGCAAACGCTTCAATAATTATCGAAATTCCTGTACATAATTAATTACAGAATCACACGAATATCAGTGATATAATAATCTCTTTTCAACAGATTCCTATTAAGGGATAAAAATATTTATTTTTTAATTACTTTAACCGTATAGCAGCACTTTCGCAATTTTTCTAATGCAATGTCGGCTGCTGATTCTGCGGTCCCTATTTTAGTTAACGATAAGTTACTACAACTCAATTCCTGTGAGTTAATATTCATGCAGCATTTCCTGAAAAGAAATATAATGAGAAATATCCCATGTGAAACAATTTTTACACAACTATATACATATATTTATAAATTTATTATACAGAGATCGTCAAAAGTTCGGGACCGTCTAAGTAATTTGTGAACGGTTCGAGATATTGGAATTTATAGGTTACAATGATGGCATAATGCAATAAAAATAAATTTCAATGCAATATCTCGAATCGTGCAGAAATTATTTGGGTAGCCGAATTTTTGGCGGTCTCTGTGTATATATATATATATATACGTATAAAACAATTTTCTTTAAAATACAAAAATGCTTACCAAAAATTTTTTTCCTTAGAGTACTTGCACTCTAGGACTTTACCAGATAACTTAATTGACATTTTCAGCATAGTAATCGGATCATCACCCGGTCTTTCCCAAAGAACAATGTCTCTGAACGGATTATCTTGATCTTTAAGTGAAACATTTGCCTCTATTTTTAATCGTTTAGGTGGCGTTTCTTCAAAGTATGGCTTTGTTTTTAATTTTTTATTTACTTTAACCGTATAGCACCACTTTCGTAATTTTTCTAATGCTATGTTGGCAGCTAAGTTTCTGGCCTCTATTTTAGTTGATTTAGTGATACAACTCAATTTCCGTGACTCAATATTTACAGAGACTTCCCTGAAAAAAAATATAGAAAAATTTTCCATAATAAACAATTTTAGCACTACATACACATAATTAAGAATGTTAAATTCATTTTATACAAACACGCGCGCGCGCACGCACATGCAAAATATATATATATGTGTGTGTGTGTGTGTGTGTGTGTGTGTGTGTGTGTGTGTGTGTGTGTGTAAATATATATTATATTTATTATATACATATATAAAGTAATTTTCTTTATAATACAAAAATATGCTTACCAGAGTTTTTCTTTCTTACAGTAATTCCATTTTAGGGTTTTACCAGACACAGAAGCTGAAACTTCCAGCGTAGTAAATATATCGTCACCCGGTCTTTCCAATAGAACAATGTCGATGTACTGATTATATTGATCTTTAAGTGATACCTCTTTCTCTGTTTTTAATCTTTCAGATTGTATCTCGTTGAAATATGGCTTCGTTTTTAATTTTTCAGACTGTATTTCTTCGAAATATGATTCTGCATTTAATTTTTCAGACTGTATTTCTTCGAAATATGGATCTGCATTTAATTTTTCAGACTGTATTTCTTCGAAATATGGATCTGCATTTAATTTTTCAGACAGTATTTCTTCGAAATATGGATCTGCATTTAATTTTTCAGACTGTATTTCTTCGAAATATAACTCTGCATTTAATTTTTCAGACTGTATTTTTTCGAAATATGGCTCTGCATTTAATTTTTTAGACTGTATTTCTTCGAAATACTGTCTTAAAACGAACTTTTTGTCGGTCGGTTTCACCAGTTCGTACTTCTCGGTGACTCCACCAAGTTTGTTCAGTTGCTTGATAAAATTCTGTACATTGACTTTACGTGAGACTACTATTTTTCCTTTTTCCATACTAAGCTTACGTGGATTTAGACCCATGTTATGTGCGATTCTGTAAACATATTATTATCGAATTTCAGCAACATTTCTGATAAATCTCAAGTAACTTACAAGTGGCACATACTTTTGAATCAGCGCTCTGTCTTGCGTAGAAAAGTCCAGAAACACAATATCGTTTTGCAAAATATCCTTTTGTAATAGATGTTTAAACACTCTTTGACACAGGGTTGTTATTTTGTACGTTTTAGAATTGTTTATTTTCCAGCCGAGAACTTCTTGATTTACTTGTGTCTCGACTCTAAAAATAAAAAGATGACAGTTTACTAGTAAAAGAGAGATAAAAAAATAAGAATTTTTTTTATAAGTCAAGGAACGGTGTCGTTGTCTATACTAACATCGGAGACGTGAGTTCCACAGTAACCTGATCCGATTTTTCAAAATTATCGCCAGGCCAGTCCACTATAAATTTCGTTTCAGTGCATATAGATCCAGTCCTGTCGGGAAGCGAATCCTGCTTTATTTCTACTGCTATTACAACTGGATCTATACCCGAACCGTTTTTTACCTGGATTTTACAATATACAGATGTATCTTAATTAACGTTCACTAATCATGTAGTGTTATTTTTTGTAGAAAATTAATTTGAAAAATCCTAAACCATTTTTCTCTACAATGCTCAATGAAGCAGTAATTAGTAAGCTGCAATAGTGATCATTTCATTGAGTATTTAGAAAAAAATCGTTTAGGACTTTTCAACTTAGTTTTTTTTATAACGTTATACAATTAGTGTGCACTATTTAAAATATACCTTGTATAACAATATTTTGAAAAAAATATAACAAAAATTTTATCTTATACAAAATGATAAAAAAACATTGTGTTTTATACAAGTCTGACAATTATTGACAAAGTGCTCATGTACTGATAGAACGGATTAAACTAAATCGAAAAGTACTGTACTATTTTGCGATTGTATTTGTTAATGAGAAATTAATTTGTAAAGGTCTACGGGCGATTTCGCAATAAAAGAAGACACACTTTTAGAGACACGTCGCGCTTGAAGAACGCTCTAAACAACAATGTGTCGCTTGTGCATAATTTGAATTTTATAGAAAAACCTCACATAGTCACGCCGCTTGCCTAGAAATTGTAAACGCTGGATTGTCTCTTATCGCCAAATATATGCGCTTATTAGATCTTTATAGTTATAATGTAATTAATATCTTGATAACTATTGCGCGAATTACAAAATAATTATAAACCATAATATTAAATACTTTTATATCCAGTTAGTCCATTCTACTGTGCGTGCAAATGCTTTAATAATTATTGGACTTCCTGTATATTATTAATTACAGAATCACACAAATATCAGTGGTATACTAAAAGATCTCTTTTCAAGATATTCTTATGCAGATAAAGATATATTTATTTTTTATTTACCTTAACCGTATAGTAGCATTTTCGTAATTTTTTTAATGCAGTGTTGACCGCTGATTTTCTGGCCGTTTTTTTAGTTACGTTGGTGTTACTACACAATTTCTCTGAGTCAATATACATAAAACATTCACTGAAAAGATATGAGAAATGTCCCATTAAAAACAATTTTTATACAACTATATATGTTATGTACATACATTTATGAATATTAAATATACAATTTTGTGTGTGTGTGTGTGTGTGTGTACATTTATAAATATATATGTATATAAAGCAATTTTCTTTAAAATACAAAAATATGCTAACCAGCTATTTTCATTCTTAGAATATCTCCACTTTAGGGTTTTACCAGATAATCTAACTGAAATTTTCAGCGTAGTAAATTCATCATCACCTGGTCTTTCCCATATAATAATATCTCCATACGATTTGTCTTGATATTCAAATGAGACATCTCTCTCTGTTTTTAATCTTTCAGACTGTATTTCTTCGAAATGTGGCTCTGTTTTTATTCTTTCAGACTGTATTTCTTTGCAACATGACTCTGTTTTTAATGTTTCAGATGGCATTTCTTCGAAATGTGGTTTTGATTTCAATCTTTCAGGTGGCATTTCTTCGAAATGAGGCTCTGTTTTTATTCTTTCGGACTGTATTTCTTTGCAACATGACTCTGTTTTTAATCTTTCCGATGGCATTTCTTCGAAATGTGATTTTGATTTCAATCTTTTAGGTGGCATTTCTTCGAAATGAGGCTCTGTTTTTAATTTTTCAGACTGTATTTCTTCGAAATACAGCTCTTCGAAATACCGCCTGAATATAGAAACTTCATTAGACTGAGAGTTGTAATCGATTGTATTTGATACAGATTTTTTTGTAGCATTAGGAAGCGTATTCTCCTCAGCGTCAAGTTTTTTATCTTTCTTGGAGCGTTTTTTGGAAGGAGATTGATCAATAAAATAGGTTGCATTTGATATATGGTCAAGTGTGTTCGATGTAGATTCTTCTGCAACAGTAGATATTTCATCAGTGCATTCTGTAAACAAAAAATGTCTCTCATATAATTATCACGATATCTCCTCACATAAATCACAAGTCATATCTAGGCTGCGTTCTATTTTAATTATGCTCACATGTTGAGCATGATTTGACCTTGTTTAACATTTGATAAATAATAAAGATAAAATGATTCTATAAGCACTGTAAACTCCAAAAGTTAATATATGAAACGCAGCCTTAATAAGAGACACACAGCGTGCATAATAAAATACGAAAAAAAGGAAAAAAATTATCTATATCACAACTCAATTTTTTATTACAATTTTTCTTTATACCTTTTATCTTAGAACTAGCTGCCTCTGACGCTTCCACAAATGTTTTTTGTGACTTTTTCTTTGGATTTTCTATTGTATATATATATTTGGCCGGGATGTCCTGTGACAATTCCTTTACTAAATCCATTGTTCTTTGTGGATAACTGCAATGAGTAGCAAAAACTTTACAGCAAACTTATATACTTAGTAGAATTTGTATCGTAGTACATGTAAAGACACAAAAACGTGTCTCTGTCGGGTAATTTTACCTGCATCCTAACAGTTCGACATCGATGAATATTTGGGCTAAGCAATTGAGCAAATCTTCCGGAAACTTGTCTTTGTGAGTCCGCAAAAATTTACGTCGTAGCTTCCAGTACTCATCGAACTCCACTTCGCGCCGCTTCACATCCCAATCTTCATTCTTCGCGCTCATCCTTTACTTCTTTCAGCTCTTTGCCTGTAGATGCCAATTATTGTCTTCGGTTACTTTACTTTTAAAAAAACACTATCGTTACTTCCACCATGCATTTGACACAAATCGTCAGACGTCGCTTTCCAGTTGCAATTTTATTCAAATTCAACCGATATCATTCGTCAACTTTTCTCAGGAGAAGGAGTCGGAAACAGGAAGGTGACATCAGGTTATGGTGACGAATTGTAGGAGAGAGAAAACTGGAGTCCCACACTGAGAAAAGAAAACTGCATACAAGTGCCATCTACCCGATATCATTGGATGTTTCGGATGTATGTACCGACCGCAGACTTCTGTCGGTTACTTGTAAAAGAATATATAATATAATAATATATAATTATAATTTCTAAAAATCCTACAAATTCTACTGACGGCATGTAATCTAAAGAACATTTTTAATAAATTATCTAATATAATATGCAATATCTGAAACAATTTTATGATATTTGTCTTCTCTATACCTACAGCAAGTGCAGATGAGACGACGCTCGATCGTCGCGACGTGATTGGTTCAATTTGAAATTTCTCAAGATCGCAATTACTCCGATTGCGCGCCCAAAACCTCAGTTCTAGAGACACGTCGGGACGCTGCGGTCGCGTCCCAAGTGTATCTCTGTATCTCTCGCTGTCGTTAACGTTTTTAGAGAGTATCTCGCGTGTGAATATACAGTGATGGAATACAATGACGGATTGCAGTGACGGATTGCAGTGACGGATTGCAGTGACGGAATGCAGTGACGGATTGCAGTGACGGAATGCAGTGACGGAATGCAGTGACGGAATGCAGTGACGGATTGCAGTGACGGATTGCAGTGACGGATTGCAGTGACGGAATGCAGTGACGGAATACGTGCGAGTGATGCTGTCAGTAGTATTTTGTATACACGTGTGAATCACGAGTGCTTTGTCTGGTGCGTTGGAGTACCGGCGATCCGGAGCTCCTGGTGTGCTCCGTGGAGCGTCGAGCAAGGAGCAGCCGCCGTTCTAGCCCGGATATTTTGCTCCACGTACAGCCTACAGCTCTAAATACAGCCAGGAATGCCAGGATACGTGTGCAAGGATCATCGCCAGGTAGTTCATGCATGTACACCGATAATCAGGGATTGATATCTGCGACTCGCGCCGAGCTGTCTCAATTTATTTCCAACACGAGAAAGAGCCGCGCACGTTGAACGTTGCGTTCCGTTAATTCGCGATTCGGTGGCGAATTTTGACATTTTCGGGTCTTATCCGCGCCGATCCGATGGAAAATTCGACGTCGGATACAGTTTTTCGAGGGATAAGGCGACAGATACGTCAAGTCGCGATCCATGCGATCATAGCGACGCTTGGAAAAACGTTACCGTTCAAAGCAATATGGCAGATGTACGACAGTCTTATTAGGTGACTTTCACGCGATTGTACCATTTGTACTGCATATCTCACGTACGCCACTCACATAGCGGATCTTCCGCGAAACGAAACCGCGATACCGATATTATCGACTGTCGAATTATAAGTGCAGCCCAGATAACTGTTATATGGTAAATAGCTTTCCTGGTATAGTAGTTACGTGAGATCGTCGGTAACCCACAGTAATTCAACCACGAAAACTACAATGAACTAAATTATCATAAATTCGTTACAAACATTAATAATTATATATTGATACAATGTATGGTGAAATTATCAAATCAATTTAATCTACACTCTATATTGCATAAATAAATTTCAGAACATTTAATTATTTCAATTACAGAAATATGTGTAATAAATCAAAAGATATTAATTCCAATTCCC